GTGCCTGTAATCCCAGCTATTTGGAAGGCTGAGGCAGGAGAATCGTTGGAAACTGGAGGCGGAGGTTGTGGTGAGCCGAGATCACGCCATTGCACTCCAGCCTGGGCAACAAGTGCGAAACTCCGTCCCCCCCAAAAAAAAAGAAATATGGAGACTGTCTTTGTCCAGTCATCCACCATGAATACAAACCAATTTTGTGTATTCTTACAAGTCAACCACATCAGAACCTGTGATTCTGATGTAAGATATATCCCAATATCAAAGATGTTAAAATAAGAAATAGAATCTTATAATCAGTAACATACAAAAATTCATCAATTAGTTCCACACATATTTCTACAAGGCTAGATGAAATTTTGAGTGAAGTTGTAGTTAATTGAAGCTCTGAAGGTTCTGCCTCCTCTTTAGCATTCCAGGAGTGACAAAACAAAAAGCATTAGCTGCTTTTTCCTATATTAGCAGATCATACCCCTTAATTCACTCTGAAAGTTGCCATGAGATATATCAGTGAAATAACTGCAGGATATGAAATATGACCTCTTAGAGTTCAATGTGTTTAATATAAATGAGGCAGAGGAAAGTAGAGTTAAAAATTAGTAAGATATTAGCAAGGATTTTAAAAAATGTATAATTTATTATATATGTATATATTCCTTAACAATATGTTGTATGATCCAACAATGAAATATACATCCATGAAAATGACAGATATAAAACAATAAAACATATGAATCTTAGAGATATGTTAAGTGAAGAAAATCAAATCCTTGGACTACATAGGGTATGATACAATTTTTTTGAAGTTCAAAAAGAAAACTAAAAAATAAGTCACTTTAGGTATACATATATATTTCAGGTGTTTTTACATGTGAATAAAACTATTAAAAAGAGAGCAGGGGGGTGGGCAAAGACAGGAGAGGAGCTCAAATAGATAAAATGCAAGCACTGCTAATATTATCATTCTTAAGTTAGGTGATGAGTTATTATACTTGATAATTTATTTGCATTCCACATTTACCCTTTTATAAGCATCAAAATTACATTTAAATATAAGTCCAAAATTATGTGTAAAGTATAAATAAAATTCATTATGTGTATGGTTGTTCCCAAAACTGCTTATTTCATCAAGCAGAGTTCTTGGTTATAGGCAATTCAGGTAGGTTTTAACAACAACAACAAAAAACTGATTTTATTAAAAGTAATTCTCAGGATCTGTAGGATACCTAGCAAACAAGAATTAGAGGTTACAGGCCAGGGGTGGTGACTCTTGCCTATAATCTCAGCACTTTGGGAGGCCAAGGTGGGCAGATCACCTGAGGTCAGAAGTTCCAGACCAGCCTGGCCAACATGGAGAAACCCATCTCTACTAAAAATACAAAAATTAGCCAGGCGTGGTGGTGGGCATTTGTAATCCCAGCTGAGGGAAGAAGGCTGAGGCAGGAGAATTGCTTGAATGCAGAAGGAGGAGATTGCAGTGAGCTGAGATAGTGCTACCGCACTCCAGCCTGGGTGACAGAGCAAGACTCTGTCTAAAAAAAAAAAAAAGGAATTAGAGATTATCACTAAATCACTTTTGCTGCTCCTCTGTGGAGATGAATGCAGTAGTTTTGTTAGTTACCGTCTTCAAAGGAGTCTGCATGGTTCCTTGCTTCTTTATATCACTAACTTTAAAGTTGAAGGCTGCAAAAGAGGCTGAGAAAACATTTACCTGGTAGTTTCAAATTCTTTAGGAGGGAGGAATGCGGAATGCTCTCCCTCATTAGGTGAGGGATTCCCTAAACACAGGAGTTAAGATACTGGGCAGCTAAAAGAGAAATGACAGATGTCTGCTACAGCCAATTCTTTTGGCTATTCAACATCAACGCACTCCTTCAGCTAATTCTTCCAAAACTATATTCAAGGGGAAAGGACTTGACAATGTAACAGTCACAGACACTGTTAGTTGCTTTCTCAGCATTCTTTCTTCTTGGTAATACTGATTTTATTTGGGACAGCTATGTACCCTGCTTTCTTTGCAGGTACCAGTGGCCATTTAACTGGTTAGGCAATTAAGTCAAGGGGAAATCCATTTGGAATTTCTGGGAAAGCTCTATTTTCCCTCATAAAAGGGGATATATGTAGCTGGCACAGGGCATTTCCATTATTTCTTCCCTGCCTTAAACATGGCATGACATTTGCTCAGCAACAACTTTCTAGCAAACACAAGAAAACAGCACGAGGGATGAAAGCCAACATGGTAAGGAGGCAGATTTGAAAGACAGAACTGCACCTTTTCCTGTGTATAATGTATTAAGAGTCACTGGTTTTACATTATCCCTTTTAGTTGAATGCATACATACTCTCAGCTATACCATTCTAGAAAACACTATCTCATTAGTTAAGATTCCATTTATTGAATTCATAATATTTTCTAATATATGAGCTGTGGTGTTTCACACTATTAGACTATTAATAAAAATAGATTTTGCTATTCAAGAAACATTTGAAACTCCCAGCAGTATTTGGCATTTAAAGGTATCTCAAGTTAGTGATTAAAAATGTGCTTAAGACTCTGTCTGGGTTTGAATCTTGGGTTCCAGTTTGGACAAATAACTGCCTCCTTGTGCCTGAGTATCTGCAAAATGAGGTACAGTTAAAGTGGAGATTATATAATACAGTACCTGACACATAGTAAAGCACTCAATAGATGGTAGCCATTATTGGCAATACCATATATACTTTGCTTTTGTGGCACCAAGGTTTTCTACTTCCCTCCTACCCATTTATTATCTGTATTGAATTCTCAAGTTTAAGGTCCCTTTTCTGTATCGTATACAGACTTACAAAATGGATTTTTCACACTGCATTATAATGATATATGTACTTGTCTCCTGTACCAGAATTTTTCATTTTTAAATTCATAACTATTAATGAAGTAGTTGGCACATAGACTAGACTTTTTTCTTTTTAATCTTTTAGAGTGCTAATCATTACACAATGGGGCCTAGACTGGACATTTTTAAATTAGTGTCTTTAGGAATTATCTGGGATGATTATTAGAATACAAATTCTTGAACTCCATCCCCAAATTTCTATTTCAGTAGGTCAGGGAACCAAATTTTGAAGAATACTAAAATAAACCTTCAATGTTTGAATCAAATTATGCATAAGGTGTTAATATAAGAATTATAGATATTGATATAATACTACACCAATATAAAGTACTATTTGTAGAGTTACACTACTGAATATACTGTGTTAATTACAAAATATGTAGACTCTTGTGATGACTACTTGACAAGGTTTTTATATATGTTAAAAAAACCCTCTGCATTTCCTAATTTAACTTATTAGTGAGTAAAATTAGCTAATCTTCTAAAAGTGCAGTTTTGTTAGAAAAGATAATTTTGAACTAAGATTTTAACCAGGCAAGTTCTTCACCCACTGAAGGAGAAACTTTAAAATCCATTTAAAAGGAAGAACATTTCTCCCCTACTCAATTTGCTAACTACACATTATCTTCATAGCATTAATACCAGCCAGAATTTATATTATGCAGGGCATTAAAAGCTTCTTAGACGTGTACCACAGGCTTTTGATTTCCCAGGGGGAAAAGTTAATATGCAGATTTATCCTGATACTTGAGATATAAAGAACTTTATAAACAGCTCTAAAGGAACATAAAGCAGACAAAGGGACATCATATTATACCTTAATTTGATTATTTTATCATTTTCACTGAAATCTAGCCATGGTAGGTTTGGCCATGGCTGCTAAATGGCATAGAGTACCTGTCTCTTGGATGGACTTATGGGGTCACTTAAGATATACTGCAAGGCAGATGGCTGGGCTATTTACTTACTCTTGGGAAATGAAATTAAAAAACACTCACAGTTGGAGGTTTTTTTTTTGTCAAATGCTATGCAGGATATAGAACAGAAATTTGAAGAATTCTTAAATGACATATAACTATTCATTAACATCCAATGCTCTAGGTGACATCCATTAGTATTACTGGGATCAGATGCTTTAGGACATCTTTGAAAGATTCTGTTGTTTTAACTGGAGTTAGTTCTTTATAGCAGTACGAAAGAAATATTACATCACATAAAGCACTAACAACTCTTTTTAATACCGTGTCTTTCCCATGCATTATGGTGCTTAATGTTATTGGAAAATACAGGTTTAGCATTATTTCAACTAATTCTGGGCAAATCTAAATACAATAGTATAACATGAAGAAATTTATAAATATGAAATGTGAGTAAACTGAACCGGGAATGATTTGATGAGTGAATCCAGCTGACCACTGGGCATTTGCATCTCAATGTTGCCTACATAGCATTATGAGTGTAATAATTCTCGTTAGGTAATAAAACTGCTTCCTTACCTTTTTATATAGCTTTAAAAAGAAAAAAAGCTACTTTTATGTAAAAAATAGACCTAAAAAGAAAGTCAACTATTAATGCTAGGAATGAAAGGCATCCAATCCAAGTGATAGTTCTTAACTATAAAATGGAAATTATATAAAAGTTAAAATAAAATGTAGAACTAGTAGGATAACATTGAAAAATTGACTCAGAGGCTGAAGCGAGCGGATCATGACGTCAGGAGATCGATACCATCTTGGCCAAAATATTGAAACGCTGTCTCTACTAAAAACACAAAACTTAGCTGGGTGTGGTGGCATGTGCCTGTAATCCCAGCTATTTGGAAGGCTGAGGCAGGAGAATCACTTGAACCAGGGAGTTGGAGGTTGCAGTGAGCCAAGATCGTGTCACTGCACTCCAGTCTGGCAACAGAGTGAGACTCTGTCTCAAAAAAAAAAAAAAAGACAAGAAAAATTGACTCATTATATTTGGGTTTTTTTATTTTCTTGTGTTTTTGGCTGATTATATTTAATAAAAGCTACTTTTAGTATCTGAAGTAAGTGCACATATATGTGTGCATGCACATACACAAGACAAGTTCCTCAGCTTTGAACAATATGAACTTTGAACAATATATGACAACTATACTATCACTGGGGAAAAAATAGCTGACTTATTTCCAAGTATGTTTCCTGGGACTAGCAGTAGGTTCTCTCAAATTAAAAGGAAAGGCACCAGGCCATAAAGTGCCAATTCTTAGCACCAGAGAGACTTAAAACTTCACAGGCGAATGACATTACAAATCAGAGAATCTGCTGATTTAGTTCTGTGGAATTGTATTATTTATGTCAAATGAAAAAAAGATAAGGTTTATGCCAAATAAATTTAAAAAGTTAAATCTCTCCTAAAATTTCCTAGAAGTGTATTTTACAATGCTATATCTAATAAAATTGCTGGCTTATAAAAAAATGCTCAAAGTTTCAGAGATGTGAAAAATAACAATGAACTGAAAACACAGTTTATATAAATCAAGGTCCCAGAAATAAAAATTAAAAGTAGTCTCTTTGAGAAAGGAATAGTGCAATTCAGCATGTATCCACATTAATACATCTGAGAACCGTTTTTGTGGACAGCAGTATTGACTGGAAATTCTAAATTGCCACCTGATAACTTTAATCAAGATTAAATCAAATCTGAGGCAAGACACTTAATGAACAGTACTTGAATGGGAAGATAATAACTTCCTTCCTTGATAGACAATCTCCAGCCATCATTCAGAGTTCAGTTATTTGATGGCTTGTGAAGCAGTGTCCATTGAGTTTTCCTTTCTGGCTTGAAGAGACTCACTGCTGATGGACAATAATTCTCGAAGTTCCTTATTTTCAAGCTGGAAGAAAAAAGGCATGTTTATTTCTGATATTTTTTACTGTCAAACTGTTATAAAAACACATTATTTTGGGCCAGGAGCAGAAAACATTATTTTAATTTTAAAAATTTTAAGGAAACAAAAAGTCCACTAATTGAGAATTTCCTTAAATACTATTTATTCATTTAACAAACATTTACATGTAGAATGTAGGCAATGATACTCTTTTGTAGTAGTAATTTACTGAGTAATTTCTATATACCAAGTGTGAGGCTTACAAAGGAGAAACAAAAAACAAGGTCTCTCTCCACCTGAGGAATTCACTGTTATATTCTTCATGGTTCCCACAGTTTTACTATTATTTGTTTTATTTAAAAAATTCCTAATAGTCATTTCACTCTGATTAGTCTCCACTCCTGGATATCTTACAGTTTTAGAGAAATGGAAGAAAAGGGGGAAAGAAACTACTTATTAAGCATGTAGCTGGGTACATGTGTGCACTGTGTATGTTATCTCACAATAACCTGTAGGGTAGAGTATCATTGCCTACATCCATATTCTATTTAAGATGAGGATACTCTGGCTCACAAAATTCCAAAAAGTTGTCCAAATTCAGACAACTTGGATGTGATACTGCTGGGGTCTGAATCTGGTGGTCATATTTTTTCTACATGAAGTATTAAAGTAGAACTTGTCCCACATTTCCTTAGGGCTATTTCCATAAGTGAGGTGAATTGGGGATAAATAGAAGGTCATTCTATCATTTCACTGGCTCCTAATTCCTACTTGGGACCTGTCACTACCTTTGATTTCTAGACAAGGTAACTTGCACTCTTCATCCTTATTCTCTGCAGAAAATTCTGGTAAACCAAAGCATTTTTAGCTTCACCAAGATGTGCGGAAGTCACAGCTAGAGTAACTTAGAGATTAGAGCCTGTGGTTGATGATAAATTTACCCCATGAAGTGCTTCCTTCAGTATTTGTATCTGTCTCCTAGCACTTAATATACTATTTCATATCACGTAAGTACTAGGGTTATTCCCTCCACTAGACTCTGGGCAGGTACCTGTTTTTTCTCTCTGGTATTTCTCAAAAGGCCCAGGACAGCACCTTGTCATATGCAGCAATCAAACCAATAACTGAAATGCTTCGCTTTTTTTTTCTTTTAAATTTTTGAGACATGGTCTCACTCTGTCGCTCAGGTTGGAGTGCAGTGGCACATGTGATCATGGCTCACTGAAGCCTCGACTTCCCGGGTTCATGTGATCCTCGCACCTCAGTCCCCCAAGTACCTGGGATTACAGGAGTACACTACCACACCTGGCTAATTTTCTGTATTTTTTTTGTAAAGACAGGCTCCCACCATGTTATCCAGGCTGCTCTTCAACTCTTGGGCTCAAGTAATTCACTCACCTTAACCTCCCAAAGTTGGAATGTTTTTCCTTAACAATTTTATGGGCACACTATACCCCAAACCCTTTTTTGTAACATATTCCTTTTCTAATCAAAATATGATATAAACATAGCTTTTAAGAAATCAAGACTATAAGGCTTATACAAGCAGTTCTTTGGCTTTGTATCCCAAATGCAACCACTTTTAGTTTTATCTATTTCTTTTGGTATTTAATTCATAATTCTAAATAATACACTTATACTACTATTTCCTGATCATCAATTTTAGTTAGGTATTATCTACTTCCCTTCTTATTACGGCAGATGAAGGATTTTATGTCACAAATAAGCTCTCCCCTCCACTCCCACTACCTTCGCATTATGATAGCTCAACTTCTTGCCAATACATAGTTGGTATTTCCATTGATTGCTGTTTACTATATTTCCTTTCTTCATAGGGTATGAAGGAGGAGTTTTAATTTTAAATCATAAACACATAGAAAACATCAATATATTACAGTGATAGGACAGTGAGGGTGTATCTTCCAGACTCTGAAAACTCTGAAATACTGTGAACCAAAAATGACAACAATCTTACCTCTAATTGGGCTAATTTTTCCTGAATCTTACAAAACTGGTCATCATCTACCTGAACTGCTTTCCTCATCACCTCTCCCATTTCACAGATTCTGTCAATCTGACTCTCAATTTCCTGTGAAGATATTAAGGAAACAAAGGTGAAAAAATCATCTGTTCTATAGAAATAAAGAACATAAGAGTGTGTGCGTTATGATTTTTAAAAGTTCATTTAATCTATGCTACAAAAGTTACAGTGGAGTTTCACTACAGTTTTAGTCCTCAGATATAAAGCCATAGTCAAATGACCTTGTGGTATTAACAGATAATTTTTTTTTTTTCCGAAAAATCAATTGTAGTTTAACTACCCATTGGATGTTGGATACTATCTCTAAGTGGCTGTTTAACTTAAATTTGAATATGTTCATTGGCAGGAAGCTTACTACATTTCATCTTTGGACATATCACTTAGAAAGTTTATCTAAGAGTAAACTCTGTCTCTTTCAAGGTTCAAGTTTTTTCCTCCATATGAGAAAAAATAAAATCTACTTTTCTTTTCCAGATGAAAGCCATTCAAATATTTATAAAATATCTCTTTTTCCTAAAACTTTTAAGTCAGTAAAATGCATTCAATGGAATTTAAGATGAAGCTTATCTTTCACTACATCTCACAGTAGCAAATAGTAGGCTCCAATCTACACATCTAGAATTAAATGATACAGTACACATGAATGTACAATGACAACTACGAAGCACCTACAAACATAAGAACAATTGCTGAGTCTCTCAAATTAGGTCATAAGCAACCAAAGTATAGAAACTATGCCATGCTTGTTTTTTTTTTTTTTAAAAAAAGCATGCTTCTCTTCCCTAACAACATAGTATAATGCTATGTAGTTCAGTTTAAAAAAATGTTTACTGACCGCCTGCTATATGTCAGGTACTATGGTAGGAATAAAATATGAATTCATGCTCCTTACAACGAAGGAGCTTAAGTGAGATGTATAAGTAATAAGCAACCAAGTGTTTACTGGGCATCCTCAACACTAACTGGCATTGTTTGGTGGGAGAGCTAAGAATTAATGAACATCTTCAAAAGATATCTTGGTAAGGGAGGGGGTACCTTAGTCCTACTCAAATAAAAGGACCTGAGCAGCCCCTATCCTCCTCCTTTCTATTCATATCTTTTTTCTATTCATATCTTTACAAAACCATGGCAAAATAAACAAACGTGATAAACATGAAAGGAAAACAAGCTTACTTTTCTTCAAAAACAAGCACACATGGCCAGTTACAGTGGTTCATGCCTGTAATCCCAGTACTTTGGAAGGCCAACATAGATGGATTGCTTGAGCACAGGAGTTTCAAACCAGCCTGTGCCACACAGCGAAACCTCATCTCTACCAAAAAAACAAAACACCACACACACAAAAATTAACAGGGCATGGTGGTGCACACTTGTAGTCCCAGCTGCTCAGGAAGCAGAGATGAGAGGATGGCTAGAGCCCAGGAGGCAGAGGTTGCAGTGAGCTGAGATCGTGCCACTACACCTCAGCCTGGTCAACAGAGCCAGACCCTATCTCAAAAAACAAAAGAAAAACAAGCACACAATGAAAACAATCTCAAGATTTCAATTCAGTTCATTTCAAATTTACTCAAAGTTTCTTACTGCAGAGTGAGACTGGTGAGCTTTCAGGACTGGTTCAGCATCCACAGCTTTTTTAACAACCATTAACTGTAACATCTGTTTCCGGTACTTGCTCATGATGAGTTCCAAAGCATCCTGGTGTTCCTCCAAGGAAACCCACAGCTCTATCAAAAACAAAATAACTTGGCAGTGATGTCTGAGAGAGAGCTCCCATATCCAAAGTTAACAGTTGGAATTTTGTAACACTATAGAGATAATATGAATCCAAAGTTGTAAATCAGTGTTTAAGTCCACAAAACTGAACAGTTAAAGTCTACGTGAAAGATAACTTTCTAGGCAGAGAAGCAGAAACAACAAAGGATATGTCATCAGAAGACATAAGTTTGAGTTCAGTTCTGTAATTTGCTTGGTTAATACTCAGAAGTAAATCATTTAGCCTCTCTGAGTGTATTTCTTAATTGCATTGTGATGAATAGCTAAAAATGAAGATAGGAGAATACAGTAGAATGATACCAGTGAAACCCCGCTGGTAAACAACTATTAATACTACAATGATTAATAATATACTAATCAAGCCTAAGAATATATACCCTTAAAATAACATTCTGCTGCTTCACCTTGCATAAACAAGAACATAAACGAAACCTTAAATCTTACCTTCAGTGTTTATTTTCATTAATATTTAAACATTAAAGTTTGCAATAATTCAACTCTATTCAGCACCTCTTTGGTAAGCTGCTACAAAATCAGTCAGATGATCTTGAAAAGGGTAATCTAAAAAACTTTACTGTTACCGGGCCAGCACAGGAGGACTCGCCTACTAAAAGTACTGACCTGGAAATACATGTACACTTTTGTGAACGGTTAGGGCAATTCTGCAATAACTTTCAAACTATTATCAGATATGAAAGAAAAGGCCTGACTAACCTCTGTTTTCCTGCTGCAAGTCTCTAATCTGTGTGTTCTCTTGGGACAGCAGAATGTGAGGTTTGTATTTGGACATGTCCTTCATATCGGATGCATCCTCTTGATACTGGACAAACAGAGACAGACTAAGTAGAGAACAGCGGCAGATGCAACTGAAGAGGCAGAAATCAGGGCTCCAGGGCAGGTTTCTCAGCCCCGACCCAGGAAAAATGTCTCACCGCTGCCCTCTGAGACCCGGAATAAATTCCAGGCCGAGTTCCCACTTTACCTCGCTCTCCACCCTTCAGTGCCCAGAATCCGAGAGCACTGGACTCCTACCCTCTGCCTGACCTGATCCGGAAGCGCTGTCCCCGCCTCCCGCATAGAGGCTACCCGCCGGTGCAGCGCCGCCGACTGATCCACCAGTGACTCAGCGGCCGCATCGTGCTCCCGCAGCCTCTCCAGCAGCGTCTTGGCATCTGTCAGGATCTTCTCGATGGTGCAGCTCATAGCAGCAGCACGACCCCACAGAACCTGCCGGGCTCAGCTACGCGACTTGCTGAGATCTTCTGGGAGTCTGTCTCAGCATTACAAGCGTCACTTCCGGGCACGTTTGAAAGGTGTCTTGGCAGGCGCAATAAGCGCCTGCGCAATAGCAGTCTAGTTTGCGGGTTCACCCGCTGTAACCTGTGGCTTCTGTGCGGTCCCGCCCAGCGTGGAGCCCCAGACCTGCCCTTGCCACGCTCTTGGTTCCAGTTCCCACAGCCATGATTAACTGGGCAGTAGGAAGTTCTCCTTTCCCTACTGGTGTTCATTGATGTGGGTTGTTACTCATAGTTTTTAATTTTGATTTAATTTTTAATTAAAAACTTTTTAAATTTTTGTTTTTTGAGACGGAATTTTGCTCTTGTCGCCCAGGCTGGAGTGCAGTGGCGCGATCTCGGTTCACTGAAACCCCCGCCTCCCGGGTTCAAGCGATCCCTCTGCATTAGCCTCCCAAGAACCTGGGACTACAGGCATGTGCCATTACATGCGTCTAATTTTTGTTATTTTTAGTAAAGACAGGCTTTCACCATGTTGGTCAGGCTGGTATGGAACTCCTGACCTCAAGTGATCTGTCTGCCTCGGCCTCCGAAAGTGCTGGGAATGTAGGCGTGATCCACTGCACCCGGCCTATTTTCATTTAATTTTTTAAAAATTGTGATAAAATACACATAAAATTTAATATCTCAGCCATTTTTAAGCATACAGTTCAGTAATATTAATAGCAAGTACATTCACATTGTTATACAGCCACCATCAGCGTCCATCTCTAGAACTCTTTCATCTTGCAAAACTGAAGTTCTGCACTATTAAACAGTAACTCCTCATTCTTTCTTATCCCCATCCCCTGGCAGCCACCATGCTACTTTCTGTCTCTATAGATTTGACTATTCTGAGTACCTGACATGAGTGAAATCATACAGCATTTGTATTTATGTAACTGCCTTATTTCACTTAGCATATTGTCCACAAGTTTCATCCATATAGTAGCATATACTAGATTTTCCTTCCTTTTTAAGGCTGAATAATACTCCATTGTATTGTATATACCACATTTTGTTTATCCATTCATCCATTGGGTTGCTTCCACCTTTTGCTGTTGTAAATAATGCAGCTATTGCAACTGGCTCACATCTGGCTGCTTGCTGTTTAGAGGCCAAAAACATGAGAAGCGAGGTGTGGTGACAGGAAAGCAGTTTTACTAATCAGATGCTCGCAGATGGGGCATGGCTAGGCTCATGCCTTCAAAACAGCATTCCGTTTTTTTTTTTTTTTTGTAAAGGTATCCCAGAGACAGTATCAATGTCCAAACTTTTATTTTGTCCCATATCAATGCCAGGGTGATGTGCCACCTGCCCTGAGTCCATCATGACCCTGCTATGGTTAACAGACTTATAGTCAATTAAACGTTGTAGGCCAGATGTGGAAGAGGGTGGGCAGGCATTCATTAGCATTAAAACCCCATTTATGCAATGTTAAGTGCCAAAAACCGAAAGCCAAAGGCAAGGTTACAAAATTGTCTTATCCATAAATTCTGTGCATTGAGCTGCTGTAATCTTGGCTTGTTGCAATTAGCTATACAAAACGCAAGCATTTTGTTTAGCTGTTTTGGCATCTGTATGCCATCCTTGTTTTGTAGGGTCTGAACTAATTTTAGCCCTCAATACTGGCCCTCACAATATTATGTTTTAGTCTTTTGGCCTGGAGGGATTGAACAGTTTCAAATTCTGTAGGTAAAACAAAACAGAAAGAATTCACATTTTAAACACAAAGGTCATAAACCCTGCCTAGTTTTGAGAATGACAGGAAAGGAAGTTCATAGGTAGCTAAACATTTAAATTATTTAGTATCAAGGCACTGAATAAATTATATTAATTCAGATAGAGGCAAAATTGTTAAATGAATTTTAATGTTTTTGAACACAAGACTGTCCCTGGGTCTCATGAAAGCAGTTTACTTCGTCACCTTTGCCTGAGTCTAAAGATGAGGCTTTGGTTAACTGCAGTTTAGTGTCAGATACTGGCAGGAGTTGGTGCCTTCTTTGGATGAGATATGTGTAAAGCCCTGTAACTTAAAAGCACAAGGATTAGTTAATATCACCTCATAAGAACCTTTTCAAAGAGCTGGAGGTGTGATACTGGAGTCCATGACCTGACTGGAAGCTGTAAAAAGATTTTACAACTTTGTGGTGATAATTTTTATAGCTTTGATAAACCTCAGCATTAAGTCAGAGACTTAATTTAGGATTTTGATTTTGAGAACATTTGTCAAAGATTTTAAAAGGCTCAAAACAAAATAATAATTATTCTAAAAATAATATTTACTCATTTAACCAAACTAATAATTAAAGACTTTAAAGGCAATACAGGAGATTACATGGACATAAAAACCTGAACCCTTTAAAATCTCAGTTTTTATAGGCAATTAAAAACCCATTAAAGATAGTATGGGAATTATCTTGATAAAACATAAAAATCTTGTTTCTTAAGCAAGTTACTACATAGGCAAAAAAAAAAAAAACCCTTCTGCTGTGTGACTGCTTCTCATTATGGGAAGACTATGTAGATAATTGAAAGTCAGACTTGATTAAAAAAAGGTGCTTGAATTTAATCAGCCATAAGAAGAGTGTATTCATGATTATGAGTATAGCAAGGGAATACATCACTCTGAGCAATTGCATGAGAAGTTTCCTGATTAAAATGAAAATCATACATATTAAGAAAAGCCAAGAGTACAGAATCAAGCTACATTGGAGGAAAACACTGCTTTTATAGACTTCTAAGATAAAACATTTCAGCATCAGGCCCCAACAGTTAGAATCAGAGGGAAAAAAAAACTTAGAGGAGGTGATGGAAAAAGTTGAAGGAGAGAGTTTAATCTCTGGCCTTTTCAAAGGGTGGAAAAAGCTGAAAACAACCAGACATAACAGAAATTGAACTCTAAGATAGGAATCTGAGAAGTTTTGTAAAGAGATAGGTCATAAAATTAAAAAGCAAAATTCCCTTTAATTTTATTAAGAGTAAACCAATACCTTAGGAAGACATTGTTTAAACCTAGGGAATCATTCTTTATTTTTATTTTTAATTTATTTTTATTTTACTTTAAGTTCTGGAATATGTGTGCAGAATGCACAGGTTTGTTACATAGGTATACATGTGCCATGGTGGTTTGCTGCACCTAACAACCCCTCATCTAGGTTTTAAATCCCACAATTATTAGATATTTGTCCTAATGCTCTCCCTTCCCTTGCCCTCCACCCTGAGAGGCCCCATTGTGTGACATTCCCCTCCCTGTGTCCATGTGTTCTTATTGCTCAACTTTCACTTATGAGTGAGAACATGATGTGTTTCGTTTTCTGTTCCTGTATTAGTTTGCTGAGGATGATGGCTTCCAGCTTCATCCATGTCCCAGCAAAGGACATGAACTCATTCTCTTTTGTGGCTGCATAGTATTCCACGATATATATATGTACTACATTTTCTTTACCCAGCCTATCATTGATAGGGATTTGTGTTGGTTTCAAGTCTTTGCTATTGCAAATAGTGCTTCAATAAACATATGTGTGCATGTGTCTTTGTAGTAGAATGATTTATAATCCTTTGGGTATATGCCCAGTAATGGGATTGCTGGGTCAAATGGCATTTCTGGTTCTAGATCATTGAGGAACGGCCACACTGTCTTCCACAATGGTTGAACTAATTTACACTCCCACCAGCAGTGTAAAAGCATTCCTATTTCTCCACATCCTTACAAGCATCTTTTGTTTCCTTTTTAATTATTGGCATTCTAACTGGCATGAGATGGTATCTCATTGTGGTTTTGATTTACATTTCTCTAATGACCAGTGATGATGAGCTTTTTTTTTTCATGTTTGTTGGATGCATAAATACCTTCTTTTGAGAAGTGTCTGTTAATATTCTTCACCCACTTTTTGATGGATTTGTTGGGGTTTTTTTCTTGCAAATCTGTTTAAGTTCCTTGTAGATTCTGGATAGATGGACAGATTGCAAAAATTTTCTCCCATTCTGTAAGTTGCCTTTTCACTCTGATGATAGTTTCTTTTGTTGAGCAGAAGATCTTTAGTTTAATTAGATACCATTCGTCAAATTTGGCTTTGGTTGAAATTGCTTTTGGTGTTTTAGTCATGAAGTCTTTGCCCATGCCTATGTCCTGAATGATACTGCCTAGATTTCCTTCTAGGGTTTTTATGGTTTTGGATTTTATATTTAAGTCTTTAATCCATCTTGAGTTAATTTTTTTGTATAAGGTGTAAGGAAGGGATCCAGTTTCAGTTTACTGCATGTGGCTAGCCAGTTTTCCCAACACCATTTATTAAATAAATTCTTTCCCCATTGCATGTTTTTGTTAGACTTGTCAAAGATCAGATGAGTGTAGATGTCTGGTGTTATTTCTGAGGTCTCTGTTTGTTTCATTTGTTTATATATCTGTTTTGGTATCAGTACCATGCTGTTTCGGTTAGTATAGCCTTGTGATATAGTTTGAAGTCAGGTAACATGATGCCTCCAGCTTTGTTCTTTTTGCTTAGGATTGTCTTGGCTATATGGGCTCTCTTTTGGCTCCATATGAAATCTAAAGTAGTTTTTTCTAGTTCTGCAAAGACAGTCAATGGTACCTTGATGAGTATATCATTGAATCTATAAATTACTTTGGGCAGTATGGCCATTTTCATGATATTGATTCTTCCTATCTATGAGCATGGAATATTTTTCCGTTTGTTTGTGTGCTGTCTTATTTCCTTGAGCAGTGGTTTGTAGTTCTCCTTGAAGAGGTCCTTTATGTCCCTCGAAAGTTGTATTTCTAGGCATTTTATTCTCTTTGTAGCAATTGTGAATGGAAGTTCACTCATGATTTGGCTCTCTGCTTGTCTATTATTGGTGTATAGGAATGCTTGTGATTTTCGCACACTGATTTTGTATCCTGAGACTTTGCTGAAGTTGCTTATCAGCTTAAGGAGTTTTTGGGCTGACACGATGGGGTTTTCTAAATAGGCCGTCATGTCTTCTGCAGACAGAGACAATTTGACTTCCTCTCTTCCTATTTGAATACCCTTTATTTCTTTCTTTTGCCTGATTGCCCTGGCCAGAACTTCCAATATTATGTTGAAAAGGAGTGGTGAGAGAGGGCATCCTTGTCTTGTGCTGGTTTTCAAGAGAAATGCTTCCAGCTGTTGCCCATTCAGTATGATATTGGCTATGCATTTGTCATAAATAGCTGTTATTATTTTGAGATATGTTCCATCAATACCTGGTTTATTGAAAATTTTTAGCATAAAGGAGTGTTGAATTTTGTCAAAGGCCTTTTCTGCATCTATTGAGATAATCATGTGGTTTTTGTCATTGGTTCTGTTTATGTGATGGATTATCTTTATCAGTTTACATATGCTGAACCAGCCTTGCATCTCAGGGATGAAGCTGACTTAGTTATGGTGGATAAGCTTTTTGATGGGCTGCTGGATTTGGTTTGCCAGTATTTTATTGAGGATCATCACATCAATGTTTATCAGGGATATGTTGTGTCCCTGCCAGGTTTTGGTATCAGGATGATGCTGGCCTAATAAAATGAGTTAGGGAGGAGTCCCTCTTTTTCTATTGTTTGGAATAGTTTCAGAAGGAATGGTATCAGCTCCTCTTTGTACCTCTGGTAGAATTCAGCTGTAATTCTGTCTGGTCCTGGGCTTTTTTTTGATTGGTAGGCTATTAATCACTGCCTCAATTTCAGAACTTTTTATTGGTCTATTCAGGGATTCAACTTCTTCCTGGTTTAGTCTTGGGAGGGTGTATGTGTCCAGGAATATTTATCCATTTCTTCTAGATTTTCTAGTTTAGTTGCATAGTGGTGTTTATAGTATTCTCTGATGGTAATTTACATTTCTCTGGGATCAGTAGTGATATCCCCTTTATCAATTTTTATTGTGTCTATTTGATTCTTCTCTATTTTCTTCTTTATTAGTCTGGCTAGCTGTCTATCTTGTTAATCTTTTCAAAAAAACAGCTGCTGGATTCATCGATTTTTTTTTGAAGGGTTTTTTTGTGTCTCTATCTCCTTCAGTTCTGCTCTGATCTTAGTTATTTCTTGTCTTCTGCTAGCTCTTTATTTTGTTTGCTATTGCTTCTCTACTTCTTTTAATTGTGATGTTAGGGTATTGATTTTAGATCTTTCCTGCTTTCTGATGTAAATTTCCCTCTTAACATGGCTTTAGCTGTGTTCCAGAGATTCTGGTATGTTGTCTCTTTATTCTCATTGATTTCAAAGAACTTCCTTATTTCTGCCTTAATTTTATTTTTCACCCAGTAGTCATTCAGGAGCAGGTTGTTCAGTTGCCATGTAGTTATGTGGTATTGAGTGAGTTTATTAATCCTGAGTTCTAATTTGATTGCACTGTGGTCTGAGAGTCTATTTGTTATGATTTTCAATTATTTTGAATTTGCTGAGGAGTGTTATACTTCCAATTATGTGGTAGATTTTAGAGTAAGTGCTGTGTGGTGCTGGGAAGAATGTATATCCATTGTTTTTGGGGTGGAGAGTTCTGTAGATGTCTATTAGGTCCACTTGGTCTAGAGCTGAGTTCAAGTCCTGAATATCTTTGTTAATTTTCTGTCTCGTTTATCTGTCTAATATTGACAGTGCAGTGTTAAAGTCTCCCGCTATTATTGTGTGGGAGTCTAAGTCTCTTTGGAGGTAGGAACTTGTTTTTATTAATCTGGGCGCTCCTGTATTGGGTGCGTATATATTTAGGATAGTTAGCTCTTCTTGTTGCATTGATCCCTTTGTCATTATGTAATACCCTTCTTTGTCTTTTTTGATCTTTGATAGTTTAAAGTCTGTTTTATCAGAGACTAGGATTGCAACCCTCACTTCCCTCTTTTTTTTTTTTGCTTTCCATTTGCTTGGTAAATATTCCTCCATTCCTTTATTTTGAGCCTATGTGTGTCTTTGCACATGAGATGGGTCTCCTGAATACAGCACACCAATGGGTCTTGACTCTATTCAATTTGCCAGTCTATGTCTTTTAATTGGTACATTTAGCCCATTTACATTAAAGGTTAATATTGTTATGTGTGAATTTAGTGCTGCCATTATGATGCTAGCTGGTTATTTTGCACATTAGTTGACATTAGTTGATGTAGTTTCTTCATAGCATCGTTGGTCTTTATATTTTGGTGTGTTTTTGTAGTGGCTGGTACTTGGTTTTCCTTTCCATATTTAGTGCTTCCTTCAGGAGCTGTTGTAAGGCAGACCTGGTGGTGACATGATCTCTCAGCATTTTCTTGTCTGTAAAGGATTTTATTTCTCCTTTGCTTGTGAAGCTTAGTTTGGCTGTATATAAAATTCTGGGTTGAAAATTCTTTTTTTTCTCTCTTTTTGGGTTGTAGTTTCACTCTTCTTGCCCAGGCTGGAGTGCAATGGTGTGATCTCAGTGCACTGCAACCTCTGCCTCCCGGGTTCCAGTGATTCTCTTGCCTCAGTCTCCTGAGTGCTGGGATTACAGGCATGTCCCACCACGCCTGGCTAATTTTGTATTTTTAGTAGAGACAAGGTTTCTCCATGTTGGTCAGGCTGGTCTCGAACTCCTGACATCAGGTGATCCGCCTCCTCGGCCTCCCAAAGTTCTGGGATTACAGGTGTGAGCCACTGCAACCGGCCACAAATTATTTTCTTTAAGAATGTTGACTATTGACCCCCCACTCTCTTCTGGCTTGTAGGGTTTCTGCAGAGATACCCGCTGTTAGTCTGATGGGCTTTCCTTTGTAGGTAAACTGACTTTTCTCTCTGGCAGCCCTTAACATTTTTTCCTTCATTTCAACCTTGGATTATCTGACAATTATGTGTCTTGGGGTTGCTCTTCTCAAGGTGTATCTTAGTGGTGTTCTCTGTATTTCCTGAATTAGCATATTGGCCTGTCTTCCTAGGTTGGGGAAGTCCTCCTGGATAATATTCTAAAGTGTGTTTTCCAACTTGATTTTATTCTCCCTGTCACTTTCAGGTACCCCAATCAATTGTAGGTTTGGTGTTTTCACATAGTCCCATATTTCTTGTAGGCTTTGTTTGCTTCCTTTCTTTTCTTTTCTTTTCTTTTCCTTCCTTCCTTCTTTCCTTCCTACCTTCCTTCCTTCCTTCCTTCCTTCCTTCCTTCCTTCCTTCTTTCTCTTTCTCTCTTTCTCTTTCTTTCTTTCTCTCCCTCTCTCTTTCTCTCCTCCTTCCCTCCCTCCCTCCCTCTCTCCCTTCCTTCCTTCCATTTTTTTGCCTTTTTTCCTTTCTTTCTTTCTTTTTTTTTTGTGAGATGAAGTTTCATTCTTGTTGCCCAGGCTGGAGTGCAGTGGCGCGATCTCAGCTCACCACAAACTCTGCCTCCTAGGTTTAAACAATTCTTCTGCCTCAGCCTCCTGAGTAGCTAGAATTACAGGCATGTGCCACCACACCTGGCTAATTTTGTATTTTTAGTAGAGATGGGGTTTCTCCATATTTGTCAGAATGGTCTCGAACTCCCAACCTCAGGTGATCTGCCATCCTCAGCCTCCCAGTGTGCTGGATTACAGGTGTGAGCCACCACACTCAGCTGTTCATTCCTTTTCATTCTTTTTTCTCTAATGTTGTCTTCAAGCCTTATTTCAGTAAGTTGATCTTTAATCCCTGATATTCTTTCTTCTGTTGATTGATTCAGCTCCTGATACTTGTGTATGCTTCACAAAGTTCTCATGCTGTGTTTTTAAGCTCCATCAGGTCATTTATATTCTTCTCTAAACTGGTTATTCTAGTTAGCAGTTTCTGTAGCCTTTTATCAAGATTCTGAGCTTCCTTGCATTGGGTTAGAACACGTTCCTTTAGCTCACAGGATTTTGTTATTACACACTTTCTGAAGCCACTTCTGTCAGTTCATCAAACTCATTCTCCATCCTGGAGAGGAGTAGTAATCATTTGGAAGAGAAGAGGAATTCTGGTTTTAGGAATTTTCAACGTTTTTGTGCTGGTTTTTCCTCATCTCCATGGATTTATCTACCATTAATCTTTGAGGCTGATGACCTTTGGTTGGGGTATTTGTGTGGAGATCCGTTTTGTTAGTGTTGATGTCGATGTTGCTGCTTTTTGTTTGTTAGGTTTTCTTCTACTAGGCCCGTCTTCTATAGGTCTGCTGCAGTTTGCTGGAGGTCCACCCCAGACCCTGTTTGTCTGGGTATCATCAGTGGAGGGTGAAGAACAGCAAACATTGCTGCCTGCTCCTTCCTCTGGAAGGTTCATCCAATAGGGGCATCTGCCTGATGCCAGCTGGAGCTCTCCTGTATGAGGTGTCTGTCAACCCTTGGAGATCTCTCCCAGTTAGGAGGCAGAGGGGTCAGGGACAGACTTGAGGAGGCAGTCTGTCCCTTAGCAGAGCTCAAGCACTGTGCTGGGGAGAATCCTCCTTGTCAGCATCTGCTGCACTGTTCAGAGCTGGCAGGCAGAAATGTTTAGGTCCGCTGAAGCTGTGCTCAGAAACTCCTCTTCCCCCAGATGCTCTGTACCAGGGAGATGGGAGTTTTATCTGTAAGCCCCTGATGGGGCTGCTACTTTCCTTTCAGAGATGCTCTGCCCAGTGAGGAGGAATCTAGAGAGTCAGTCTGGCCACAGCCACTTTGCCACACTGTGGTGAGTTCTGCCTAGTCTGAATTTCACAGCCTCAACACTGTCAAAGGAAAACTGCCTACCGAAGCCTTAGTGATGGTGGGTGCCCCTTCCACCTCCATGCTTGATCACCCAGGTTGACTTCAGACTGCTAGGTTGGCCATGAGAATTTCAAGCCAGTGGTTCTTAGCTTGCTGGGCTCAATAGGAGTGGGACCCACTGAGTGAGACCACTTGGCTCCCTGGCTTTAGTCCCCCTGTCCAGGTGAGTGAACGGTTCTGTCTCATTAGGGCTCCAGGCACCACTGGGGTATGAAAAATAAAATCTATAGCTAGCTCCGTGTCTGCCCACATAGCCACCCAGTTTTGTGCTTGAAACTCAGGACCCTGGTGGTGTAGGCACAAGAGGGTGTCTCCTGGTCTGTGGATGCAAAAACCATGGGAAAATCATAGTATCTGGGCCAGATAGCACTGTCCCTCATGACTTCCCTGGCTGGGGGAGGGAGGCCCCCGGCTGCTTGCACTACCTGGGTAAGATGATGCCCCACCGACTTTTGCTTGCCCTCTGTGGGCTGCCCCACTGCCTAACCAGCCCCAGTGAGATGAACAGAGTACCTCAGTAAGAAATGCAGAAATCAACCCCCTTCTGCATTGATTTCGCTGGGAGCTGCAGACTGGAGCTGTTCCTACTTGGCCATCTTGCTAGTCTCTGGGACTCATTCTTTAGAAAGACTATTATAAATAAAGTCTTTTAAATTATAGCTAACTTAATCACACAAAAAATTCCTTTGATAAATGCTCCTTCACAAAGCTTGTCATAACTTAGACTATGACATGCTTGGAGTTTCTAATTTGTCCTATATGTCTCTCTTTCTTAAATAATCAGTCATTTTACTTTAGAACAAAAATTTACCCTACATGATTGCTTTTCATACAAAAGTATTCTCTTTTCTTTACAGCATTCCCTACCAAAAATATGCCATAACTTTTTTTCATATCTCTCTCCCCTACTTACTGATTTTTTAACCCTCTTCAATAAATAACTTTAAAATACCCTCCAAATGGCACAGCCTTTTTTTTCAATAAGAGCACAACTTATAGAAGTATATGTCAGCTAGAATACTTATCCTTTGAAACCTTAAATTTTAGTGAAAACTTAGGAAGCAGAAAACCCTGAACTGTCTGATAGATATTAGTATTTTATAGATGAAACCATTCCACAATTTTAGAAACATGTTTTTCTACATCATAACCTTTTCTTAATTAGAAGTGACCCAGATATTTAATGATCAGTTATCTAATTCAAAATAATTTAAAAATTTTTAATTACACATAAAGTCCACTTGTAAGCATTTATCTTACTTACATGTACTCAATTTTTTTCATTTTAACAGTTTATCTACATTACTTCTGAAAGCCTAGTTATTACACAAAACTAATTATTTAAAGTTACTTCCCAGTTAATCATTTTAAAAGTCTGAATAGCAGGTGAACACTTAAGCAAGAACCTTAAAGTTAAATGCCTTTTGCTGTTAACTCAGAAGACTCAGCTATTTTCATTGAACGAATATTAAATTAGTCTTATTTGACAAAAAAAATCACACAAAGTTTATCCTGTTTTTGGCTGTGTTTACAGTCCCACAACCTTTGTGACAAACCCTGACACCTTAATATAGAGACAGGGACAAATATAAAACCATTTGTTTAATAAACTGACACAAAAATGTATGCGGACAATTCTGAAGACATTTCTATTTTTATCAATTTTTTTAAGAGTCTCACTGTTGCTCAGTATGGAGTGCAGTGGCACAATCACAGCTCCCTTGTAGCCTTGATCACCCCAGGCTCAGGTAATCCTTCCAGTTCAGCCTCCCATATAGCTGGGACTGTAGGCATGTGCCACCACAACTGGCTAACTTTTCTACTTTTTTGTAGAGACTGGGTCTTGCTACATTGCCCAGGCTGGTCTAAACTCCTGATTCAAGTGATTTTCCCGTCTTGACCTCCTAAAGTGTTGGGATTATAGATGTGAGCCACCATTTCCAACCTATTTTTATCAATAATTTTAAAGTCAATTTTATTTACCAAAGATTCATGTAAACTTGAAAAGCATTTGGACTTAATTTATGAGTATTCATTTACTTATAGGCCAATTATATAGCATGCTAGACATGACATATAATATAATACATGTACATACACATAAACATATCTAAACATGTATATGTACCTGCACAAAGATTCAATAGCTTTTACCTCACAACTCTAGCCATAAGATAGTAATACAAACTCACCACTTTATAAAAGATA